GACATCATTATGCTGTACGAATGTGTTCCATAGTCGAGTCATCCTGGGTATATATGATCTCAGATGGAGTGATGTTTTTCTCTCTCTCTCTCTCTCTTTTCTCTCTCTTTCTCTCCACTCTTCTCCAGGTGCATAAACACTTAGTATAACCCACTCTATAACCCACTGATTTTAATCTATATAATACTTGAATTTATACATTCATATTCCCCTTTTTCCTTCCATAACTGATCCTTCAACATTACCGCTACTCATGCCTTAATTAACTCTAACTCTCTCAGATACACCAGAACTAATCCCATATATTTCTTTCCACTGAAACTCTCCTACATCGTTCATTTTTGTTCTGTTTAGAGCCAGGACATCTAGCTTCTTTTCATTCCTAACATTCATAATCCTTTCTTTCTTAACCTCTGCCATGCATCCACGCACTTTCAAACATCCCAACTTTATGGAAATAATTGGTATAAAATACCTACACAATGGAAAAATAAACACATAAGCAGTATAATGTGATCATTTATTGACAACGTTTCGCCCACACAGTGAGCTTTATCAAATCACAAACGGATCTACCTGGGTGAAAGGTACGTGAGTATTTATAGGATGGAGTCAAGTTGAAAATGCTGGGTAGGTTGGATCTGAACTTGCTTGCAACAATCTTCCGAGTAGGGTGATAGAGGCTAGGACCTTGGGTAGCTTTAAAAAGAGATTGGACCTGACTCCATCTTATAAATACTCATGTACATTTCGTGACTTGATAAAGCCCATTGTGTGGGCGAAACATTGTCAATAAAGGATCACACTATACTGCTATGTGATTATTTTTCCATCCCAAATTTATAAAATTTGTCTTTTTTTTTTTTTTTTACTTTTAGTGACTAAGACAGGAGAAGGGGTCACTAATCCCTTGCTCCCGGCATTTTAGTCGCCTCTTACGACACGCATGGCTTATGGAGGAAGAATACTGTTCCACTTCCCCATGGAGATAAGAGGAAATAAACAAGGACAAGAAACAGTAAGAAAAATAGAAGAAAACCCAGAGGAGTGTATATATATATATATATATATATGCTTGTACATATATGTGTAGTGTGACCTAAGTGTAATTAGAAGTGGCAAGACGTACCAGTTTGAGAAAGAAAAAAGACACCGGCAATCCTACCATCACATAAAACAATTATAGGCTTCTGTTTCACACTCACTTGGCAGGACGGCAGTACCTCTCTGGGTAGTTGCTGTCTTCCAACCTACTACCTATATATATTCATATAGACATACATTACACACATAAATAAATATGTACATATGTGTTCACGTCTGTATCAGTTTTTATATATACATGTATATATATATATATATATAAAATATATATATATATATATATTTTATATATATATATATATATATATATGGATAAAATGGTTTTTAATACTTGACGTGCTGTTGGAGTGTGAGCAAAGTAACATTTATGAAGGGTTCAGGGAAACCGGCAGGCCGGACTTGAGTCCTGGAGATGGGAAGTACAGTGCCTGCACTCTGAAGGGGGTGTTAATGTTGCAGTTTTTAAAAACTGTAGTGTAAAGCACCCTTCTGGCAGGGCGGTGATGGAGTGAATGATGGTGAAAGTTTCTCTTTTTCGGGGCCACCCTGCCTTGGTGGGAATCGGCCAGTGTGATAATAAATAAATATATATATATATATATATATATATATAAATATATATATATATATATATATATATATATAAAATGTGTGTGTGTGTGTGTGTGTGTGTGTGTGTTGTGTGTGTGTGTGAAATATTTGTCTGTATACGTAACTGTCCTATAGAACAGAGCAGCAGTTTACTGCTAATATATCATGATGTATATTACAATAAAAAATTGTGAAGAGGCCAGTGCCAGTGTGTAGTCTGACGTTTATAATGACTGCATCTTCTTAACAAATGTATATATATATGAAGTTAAATGTATCATCCAAATTCCTCTCCCAGCCTCTGTTTCCTCTATCTCCTACAGTGTCTCCCACAGTGTCTCCTACAGTGTCTCCCACAGTCTCCTACAGTGTCTCCCACAGTGTGTATTTACCTTGTCCTCACACTAGGATGATGGAGACACCTTTATTAAATATCCATTTATTCAGAGTATGTGATAGATTATACTCTGAACACTCCTTGTTCCTCTCCCTCCCTCTCATCTCTCCTTGTTCCTCTCCCTCCCTCTCATCTCTCCTTGTTCCTCTCCCTCCCTCTCATCTCTCCTTGTTCCTCTCCCTCCCTCTCATCTCTCCTTGTTCCTCTCCCTCCCTCTCATCTCTCCTTGTTCCTCTCCCTCCCTCTCATCTCTCCTTGTTCCTCTCCTCCCTCATCTCTCCTTGTTCCTCTCCCTCCCTCTCATCTCTCCTTGTTCCTCTCCCTCCCTCTCATCTCTCCTTGTTCCTCTCCCTCCCTCTCATCTCTCCTTGTTCCTCTCCCTCCCTCTCATCTCTCCTTGTTCCTCTCCCTCCCTCTCATCTCTCCTTGTTCCTCTCCCTCCCTCTCATCTCTCCTTGTTCCTCTCCCTCCCTCTCATCTCTCCTTGTTCCTCTCCCTCCCTCTCATCTCTCCTTGTTCCTCTCCCTCCCTCTCATCTCTCCTTGTTCCTCTCCCTCCCTCTCATCTCTCCTTGTTCCTCTCCCTCCCTCTCATCTCTCCTTGTTCCTCTCCCTCCCTCTCATCTCTCCTTATTCCTCTCCCTCCCTCTCATCTCTCCTTGTTCCTCTCCCTCCCTCTCATCTCTCCTTGTTCCTCTCCCTCCCTCTCATCTCTCCTGTTCCTCTCCCTCCCTCTCATCTCTCCTTGTTCCTCTCCCTCCCTCTCATCTCTCCTTGTTCCTCTCCCTCCCTCTCGTCTCTCCTTGTTCCTCTCCCTCCCTCTCATCTCTCCTTGTTCCTCTCCCTCCCTCTCATCTCTCCTTGTTCCTCTCCCTCTCTCTCATCTCTCTCCTTGTTCCTCTCCCTCCCTCTCATCTCTCCTTGTTCCTCTCCCTCCCTCTCATCTCTCCTTGTTCCTCTCCCTCTCTCTCATCTCTCTCCTTGTTCCTCTCCCTCCCTCTCATCTCTCCTTGTTCCTCTCCCTCCCTCTCATCTCTCCTTGTTCCTCTCCTCCCTCTCATCTCTCCTTGTTCCCTCTCCCTCCCTCTCATCTCTCCTTGTTCCTCTCCCTCCCTCTCATCTCTCCTTGTTCCTCTCCCTCCCTCTCATCTCTCCTTGTTCCTCTCCCTCCCTCTCATCTCTCCTTGTTCCTCTCCCTCCCTCTCATCTCTCCTTGTTCCTCTCCCTCCCTCTCATCTCTCCTTGTTCCTCTCCCTCCCTCTCATCTCTCCTTGTTCCTCTCCCTCCCTCTCATCTCTCCTTGTTCCTCTCCCTCCCTCTCATCTCTCCTTGTTCCTCTCCCTCCCTCTCGTCTCTCCTTGTTCCTCCTCCCTCCCTCTCATCTCTCCTTGTTCCTCTCCCTCCCTCTCATCTCTCCTTGTTCCTCTCCCTCCCTCTCATCTCTCCTTGTTCCTCTCCCTCCCTCTCATCTCTCCTTGTTCCTCTCCTCCCTCTCATCTCTCCTTGTTCCTCTCCCTCCCTCTCATCTCTCCTTGTTCCTCTCCCTCCCTCTCGTCTCTCCTTGTTCCTCTCCCTCCCTCTCGTCTCTCCTTGTTCCTCTCCCTCCCTCTCATCTCTCCTTGTTCCTCTCCCTCCCTCTCATCTCTCCTTGTTCCTCTCCCTCCCTCTCATCTCTCCTTGTTCCTCTCCCTCCCTCTCATCTCTCCTTGTTCCTCTCCCTCCCTCTCATCTCTCCTTGTTCTTCTCCCTCCCCTCATCTCTTCCTTGTTCCTCTCCCTCCCTCTCATCTCTCCTTGTTCCTCTCCTCCCTCTCAACTCTCCTTGTTCCTCTCCCTCCCTCTCATCTCTCCTTGTTCCTCTCCCTCCCTCTCATCTCTCCTTGTTCCTCTCCCTCCCTCTCATCTCTCCTTGTTCCTCTCCCTCCCTCTCATCTCTCCTTGTTCCTCTCCCTCCCTCTCATCTCTCCTTGTTCCTCTCCCTCCCTCTCATCTCTCCTTGTTCCTCTCCCTCCCTCTCATCTCTTCCTTGTTCCTCTCCCTCCCTCTCATCTCTCCTTGTTCCTCTCCCTCCCTCTCAACTCTCCTTGTTCCTCTCCCTCCCTCTCATCTCTCCTTGTTCCTCTCCCTACCTCTCATCTCTCCTTGTTCCTCTCCCTCCCTCTCATCTCTCCTTGTTCCTCTCCCTCCCTCTCATCTCTCCTTGTTCCTCTCCCTCCCTCTCATCTCTCCTTGTTCCTCTCCCTCCCTCTCATCTCTCCTTGTTCCTCTCCTGCCCTCTCATCTTTCCTTGTTCCTCTCCTGCCCTCTCACCTCTCCTTGTTCTCTCCTGCCCTCTCATCTCTCCTTGTTCTCTCCTGCCCTCTCATCTCTCCTTGTTCCTCTCCTGCCCTCTCATCTCTCCTTGTTCCTCTCCTTCCCTCTCATCTCTCCTTGTTCTCTCCTGCCCTCTCATCTCTCCTTGTTCCTCTCCTGCCCTCTCATCTCTCCTTGTTCTCTCCTGCCCTCTCATCTCTCCTTGTTCTCTCCTGCCCTCTCATCTCTCCTTGTTCCTCTCCTGCCCTCTCATCTCTCCTTGTTCTCTCCTGCCCTCTCATCTCTCCTTGTTCTCTCCTGCCCTCTCATCTCTCCTTGTTCCTCCTGCCCTCTCATCTCTCCTTGTTCCTCTCCTGCCCTCTCATCTCTCCTGTCCTCACCATTACTCCTACTTTAACATCCCCTCCTCCCCGAGAAGCTCCCCCCCCCAGTCTCCGTACAGGCCAGTCCCCTCTCCCAGTCCCCCTTCCAGTCCCCACCTCCCGGTCCCCCATCCCGGTCCCCCTCCCAGTCCCCCATCCCATTCCTCAATCCCAGTCCCCTGCCAGTCTCCCCTCCCCCTACTCTTCCAGCAGTTTATAACACTCTCTTTCCCAGAAACAGCTGATCTGTTGGAGACCAGAATGTGTCCTGAGATCATCCCAGCCAGAGTGCCACCACCACCCTACTGCCGTACCCAGGTACGTGCCAGA